TGGGAAGCCGATCGCCAGACAGGTCCTTCTTCCGAGACCCCTCTGGGTGGACTTGCAGCAGAGAGCATCGACTGACGGTGTCACGCAGGGACTCCTATCGATCTGCAGCAGGTGATTGACTCCGAGGCGCCAAACCTAGCAAGAAGATGCTGCGGCACGGCGGGGGCAGTAAGGCACCCTCATTTTCTGTTGTGGTTGCCGCGGATATATAGAGCACAGCGCACACCGAGGCAGCAGTTTCCACCCGACCGGCTCTGTTCTCTGAGTTGTGTAACCTCCTCTGCCTTTTCGGAGTGCTTGCACAATTTGTGGTCACTCCTACGTCTGTGTAGGGGAAGCACCAAATGAGGCAATCTTTCTGGTGAGGGCAAAAGCCCCCGGCAACGGCAGGGCAGACACAAGCCAGTGCTGTTGCCGAGTTCCGGGCAGTCTCCTCCTCGGGCCTCCATCTCCCCTGGGAAGAGCCCCTGCTGGGCTGTCCGAGGCCCTCAGCCTTCCCAGTCTGCCCTGCTTCTGATGTTACATTGCACCTTTGACCTCTGTCCCCAATAAGGACTTAGTGACGGCCAGATGCAGAATCACCTTAGCTGTTTCACGTGCTCCCGAGGTATGTGGTCTGCACGTATTTATTGTTAAGTTTAAGGCTTGCCGGTACTTGGCCGGAGTTTAAGCAAACACCAGCCCTACACAGGGATCTGCTCCTGGTCTCTTGACCACTGTTTAGTGCAGACCCCGTGCAGCGGCCTTCGCTGCAATGTGAAGGGGACAGCCTTTGCACGTGGCTCAGGAGATGCCAGGAAAACGGAGCCTTGGTTTAGAAAGACGAAACGGAGGTGCGAGCAAGAAGCTGGCTGTCCTAAGGAAGGGCTTAGCATTGCTCAACAGTGGCTGCAGGAAAACGTGGCGGTGGAATTTGGAGTGTGGCGTGTTTGTCAGAATTGATAACGGCCATCCTTATCCTGGGATGTTATCAGTAACAAACTGCTTACCTTTAGAAAGAAAAAACGAATACGGTGATAAGATTGGGGAGGTGGGGGTGGGGGGACGAGGAGCAGTCATTCTACAAGTACCCAGAGGAATGGCCAGAGTTCGAGGCGAGGGAACCACTGGCTCTTAAAGGGCAAGTATCCTGCAGTGGACCCGACTCACCCGATGTTGATCTCTCCAGTAACTAACCTCAGTCACCACTGTGCTTAAACTTGATGCTCATGTTCTCCCACCTAGTCCTCCCTGGTTCTGCAGGGATTCCCTGCTTATGTAGTTGTAAGAGCACGCCTTATAAACAAATCCAATCAGATTAGGTCCCCATGGACGCGCTGCTGTAGGTTGTCACGGTGGTTGGTAACCACAGATCCATAGCAGACTGGTGAATCACCATCAGTCGTGAGGCAGCTGCACAGTCATTTGTTACTAATAATAAATGATCGTCATTTGTGAATGATTTACCTCTTTTTATACAGCTCATATCATTCTCACTCCCTGCGACTCCAGTTCTGTTGCTTGCTTACTTGAGACAGAGATGGAGTTCGAGCTAAGGCAGAAAGAATTGCATCTACCCTCGCATGTCTTGGCTTGGCAATTCCATGCAAAGCGCCTACTTGGTGCAGACCCCGTGCCAGGCACAGGGAACATTCGCCTACCAGGATGCCAAGCACTCAGCAGACGTGGCCTGAATCTTCAGTATCATCTGAAGAGGAAGGCTCATTTTTTCATTTTAGACCGTTTCAGCAACTTGGACTCACAAATTCATTTTATAACCGTGCAGAGCTCAAACGCCTCCGAACATGCACTTTGATTCCAGAACACCAAGCTCACTGCCATCGAGTCCATGCTGACCCATAGCAATCCT